AATGTGCAAAGGTTGTTACTCTGAATTCTCACAAGTCAACTTTGATGTCAAATTAAAAACCTCAGAGTAATAGGATAAACCAGATACTTACAGTAGTTAAGGTGTGTGTTTTTCTTTCCTCATTTTTTAAATGAAATCTTATAATCAGCCTTACAGGGCAGCACCTTGGGGTGCTGTTCAGGGTTAGACTGCACAGCACTCTCAGTGTCATCTTTAAAACAGAGTTGTGTATAACAAATGATTAAATTGTCTACTAGGGAGACGTATGCATTGCAGAACTGAATGTGATGTTCACATATAGTATGCTCATCGATTACACAGCTTGCAAAGTCCTAGACATCTAAAACACAGGACTTACTACATGTTTGTCATGAGATCAACAACATTCTATGCTTTTTCTAGTGTTTTCACCTATTATAACCACCTTGACTAAAGCAGTTTAGCTGTTAGAAGAAACAAAACTTGTCATGTAGCATCGTTAATTCACAGGCTTTTCAAAAGTATGTTATCAGAGCATCTCAAGGTAAACCATGTAGAAGCAGCCGATATGAAGTGTCATTTTGTCTACTCTATCTTTCTTACAAATAAGATGTAATTCCTGACTTGTTATATTTTCCTCATTTAAATATTTTACTTGCATTTCACTATACAAAGGCTAAAATGCTGGATTTTATACTACAGAATAGAGAACATTCAACAATCACTGCTATATTAAAACATCAAAAGTTTAACAAGAAGAATTGATTCTGTATGAAGGAGAAAAAAGTATTGAAAAGAGTAAGACAATGCAAAATATGCAAAACTACTGCACAGCAGTGTATCTCTGTCTCCATATACACATGTATAGCATGAGAAGCAGCAGAATGATTGCAAGACTGACTGGGTAGCCATTAAGAAAAACTCTTCAGCTTCAGGGTGTCAAAAAGGGGCCATTTGTATGGTGTTAAGAACAGAAATGCTGGATTTTAACTGTAAAACGGAAAACAAACAGGAGTGGTCTGTTCTCTCCAGCTTGAGTTGTCAATGAGCTTGAGGTTTAAGTGACTGTGCTGTCTACTGGGTTATGATGAAATGCTTTATGATTTATGCATCCCCATACAAAGCTGTTCAGATCTGCATTATATTGTGATTAAAACTAAAAAAACAAGCAGTTTTCAGATTAATTGAGGGTTTAATCCAGGGAATGTGCAGCCAGGCAGTCTTTTAAGAATGAGAAGTAGGATAACTAGAGTTTTAGACATTTCTATGCACTGCTATGACGGTCTAGGTCTTATGCCTGTTGTTTTGTTTCCTTGCTTTCAAAAGGATGTTTTTTTTTGCTAGTCTCTGTCCACTAAGGTCCCATCTCCCATTCACTCCAGCAGGGGTGTTTCTTGGAGTGTCTTGCCAGCCTGAGTATGTACCGTAGGTGCATCTATCACAGCAAGGCATGAAGAAGACCTCCACTGAAGTCAAAGCGACACCTTGAAATGTACTGTGCTATACTTAAATTAAAAACCCACCAAGATGCAAACAATGAAAAGAATTACTTAAAACAGGTATATAATTAGTAGATGTATAATATTATGTTTTTAGGATCCCAATACCTGCTCTTACAATGTGAAGGAAGAAGTTTCTCAAGCATTTCTTGTCATAGTGCCCATGACTGCTGGATGCCACAATGAGATGACCACATATTTCTAGTGTAAATAGGAAGGAATCTTTTAAACAGAACACATTTCTCAATGCACAAGAAGCCAAGTATCTGAATCAGCAAGTTTTATTATAATTTCAACATTTTTTTTTGCCAGAGATGGATAGGACTTAAAACCACCTGGTCACGTGTCAACTCTTCTGCTGTTCATACCAGAAACAATTCTTCCCCTAAAGATTATCA